TAAGGCTTAATGCTTTCCTTTGTTGGATGAGATATTATTGTTCCGAACGTTAAACATTTTGTAGAAATATCACCTGCTCTTAGATGAAGTGCATCATGGTAACCTTATTGATATGTCTTTTTTGATGACTTCTAAAGATTTTTTGTACATGGATGCTACCATCTGTTACCCTTTTTATTACAGTACTCTCTCTAATATATGTACATTAAGCTGGTAACAGGTGTTTGCTCTATACAAAATAAACAAGACCTTGGTCATTCATTCCCTTTGTTTTCATAGCAATAGATGGCATGATTCCTTTCTTTTTGACCCTGAGATCTATGATCTATAGTAGGAACAACGTTACTTAAATTCGTGTGTTTGACATTATTAATTATGATAAATTCCCTAGTTATACTAGTTATCAAGCAAGAAGCTTTCACTTGGGATGTCCTGTGGTTAGGTAAAGAAGGGGAATGGCAGTAGGGGCTATGGCTTGTGTACTAACATCTCATGCTCTCTTTACACGATTTACGTTTAAGATTATCGATTTTAAACTATGAGCTCCTTTTCTTCTTTTTTTTTGTCAAAAAGAAATGTAACTATTACCTTACGTGAAAAATATTAGAATTCTGTTCTTGATGACTGATCAATACTGATATTTTGTTTGATAGGCATGCCGGGGTACTCATGCAACTGGGGGGAAGAGTTCAAGTAACAAATTAGCCAAGCAAGCTGCATTGGCATTTGTTAAACATACATTAGAAAGATGTCATCAATATGAGGATGAAGGCAACAGCTGCTTCAATGATCCTGTATTCAGGGATATGTTTATTTCTGGATGTGCACATCCAGCAGATACTCCTACAGATAATGAATCTACAAAACCATATGCCAAAAACTCTAGCCGTAATTTGAACAGCCGAGTTTCAGGTATTATTTTTTCTGCCTCTTGGATAAAATGCTGGAAACTTCTCTCTGAAAAAAGCTAGAAACTTGCATGTCTTTATGGATTCATGTTGTTTGAGTCCCAAGTGATAAGTGGGATCAAATTTATTTTTGGGTTTTTGTAATCTGCAGAAGTTATATTTTCATCTTCTTATTTGGTCTTTTTCTGCAGCTTCCATGGGTTCACAGCCAAGTCCTCTGACATCACGAATAGGCCAGAATGGGGACAGCTATGCAAATTCATCTGATCTGCTTCCGTCTCTAAATTGCTTGTCTGAACGGTCTATAGATAAGGAAGACATATGGTCAAACAGGGTAAAAAAGAGGGAGTTGCTACTTGATGATGTTGGTGGCATTGCTGGTACTTCTGCAAGTACCTCGGCAGGCATTGGAAATTCCCTATCAAGCAGTACAAAGGGAAAGAGGAGTGAGAGGGACAGAGAGGGAAAAGGACATGGTAGAGAGGTATTACCTAGAAATGGGAATAAGATTGGTCGACCAGCAATCTCCAATGCTAAGGGAGAAAGGAAATCTAAAACAAAGCCCAAGCAGAAGACAACTCAGCTGTCTGTCTCTGTAAATGGCCTTCTTGGCAAAATGTCAGATCAACCAAAATCATCATTATCCAAGTCAAGTGAAATTATCAATAGTAATGCCAAAGAGAAAAATGAGTTCAGCTTGGATGTATTGGATGATTCTGAAGCTATTGATTTATCTGGCCTGCAAATACCTGAAATGGATTGCCTAGGTGGTACCGATGACTTAGGTAGTCAAGCGCAGGATCTAAGTACATGGTTGAACATTGACGAGGATGGGTTACAAGACCATGATTTTATGGGCCTTGAAATTCCAATGGATGATCTTTCAGACTTAAACATGATGGTTTGAAGTTGCTTTCTCTGTACAGTCTTGTTCATTATACTGTTTGACAAACATAAATGCTGTTGTCAAGAAACGACCAGTTACAAGGATGATGATGTGGCCGTCTGCACCACATAGGTTATATAGATTCTTTTGTAGACTCCTTCAAAAGTTGATTTTAAAGTTAAACTTTCGGATGTTTTAGATTTTCTCCTGTATTAAGTTGGTCAATTTGACTGTAAAGATCGTTTGTCTGAGGTACAAGAATGTCTTACAGTTACAGATATATATTTTTAGCAAAGATTGTATCCTGGCTGTAGTTTTACAATTCAGAGAACCATGCCTCTTGTACATATGATTAAAATTCCTAATAAAATAATCTTTTTGTTCAGTATAATTATCTTTTCCGACATAACCTGTATATGTATATATCTTCCTATCTGTTTGGTTCATAATCATCTGGATACTTCTCATTCTGTCCAGGGTCACTATTGCAGCATACTTTATTTATCTTCAAGCCATATAGAACGTAAAGACCACAAATATGAAGATGGTCCTGCCACTTTATTTATCTTTATGCTTCCAGGTGGCTGGCAATGCAATCTACCAAGCTATCTGATGGTAAGAGTTTTGTTTTCATCTTTGTTTATTAAAATTTAACAACTGCAAATTTAAACTCAGTTATGATTGTCTGATGTGAGCTTTTAACAACTCCAAATTCTTCTTCTGTTGAAGGATTCCCCATGCACTGTCTTAAACAATACTTTGATAACTGAGTACTTAATTTTTGGAGATGTCTGAGAGGTACGCTATCAATGATATTGGTCTGTCATGGTTTTTCTTGAACATGTGTATAGATCTGTGCTAGGAATGGAGAGTTGAAGGTGTAATTTTCTAATCTTAGACTAAGTTTGAAGTTTATTTAGTGAATATGGTGTCAAGTTTCTGTTTTGACTCTAATTCTGGCATGGTGGTGAAGAGACTCGTATTTTCATGGTTCATTTTTTGGTTTTGCATAAATTTCCCACTCAGTACCCTCCCTTATGAACCCAAAATGTGTTTGATTTTGTCCTTTTAAGACTGCACTTTACTTAAACACTGAGGAAAACAAGGGAGGTTTGGATTTGTGCTTTCCCTCTGAAGAAAGTTTTGTTTCTGCATTGCCCTAATAATTTGTTTCTTCCCAGGAATATGTGCTCTCCCTAGCTTGAGAGTATTCTAATTTTTCAGATTGAAACATGAATCCCAGCTCTAATCTCCATTGTTTTGGCGAAACAAACACACAGACCCGCCCCATTTGTCTCCAAATAAAAAATTGAACTGTAGGACTGCCGTTATCTTATCCAAGACCTTAGGCTGAAGCATTGCTTAACTCTGTTCCTGTCTTTGTTTAATATGAAACTTTTATATGCAACTGAGTACAGGACTGCATGGCTAAAGCTATATATAATGCTCCTAGCTAGATTTTTCATTGCATTAGTACAGTTTGGAGGCATGCTCTGTCTGGACATTGCAAACTACTTTGTTCTATCTGGTAAAGGACATTTTTTGTCTTCGTTTGACTGATTTTGAAATGCGTGTCTCAGTTTAGGTATACAAATTCCAATGATGATGCCTTGCGGTTAATGGGTTTTCATTTGTTGTTTTTCCAGTTGCTACTATTGTGGCCTTGATATAGAATTCTACCTATATAGGTGTTTGGAGAGGCTATTATGTGGAAGCAACGAGGGGTGATGTAGGCTATCTTTAGTCTAAAATTAATTTAATTGCATAATATTAATTGATTAGTTTGTCTCCTATGAGGAAAATATCATAGTACCTCTGAAGTATTATTCTTTTATTGATTTTACATTAAAGTTTATGTGACACTCCTAAACCTTAAATATTAAAATATTAATATTATACAGTTTTATTTTACAGATTTTCTTAAGTTTGGTATTGTAAAATAATTTATCGTATTTTTACCATTTAGTTTTAATGCTCAAAATATTTTATTCGTAACTTTAATTGTGATTTTATTAAAATAATTATCTAAAATAAAAAACATGTAAAAAATAATAAAATAAAAACATAAATATAAAAAAAAAATTTGGGTTAAACGGAAAAATTGGAAAAGAAAAACCTGCGGGCCTGCAAGTCGCACGCTTGTGCAACCTGTATGCTGTGCACACGCTCATGCGTTGCAAGTGTGCGTTCCGGGCATGCCTGCATTTCGTGTTGCATCACATGCTTGTGTGTAGCGTGCACCTCACGTTGTGCCTGTGTGTTGCACGCACGTCGCGTTAGCTATCCTATCATGTGCGCACCCTGCACGCGTAGTTAGCCCGTGCACATCACATCCTTCTGTTGCCGCTTGTCATTGTCCCATCATCGTCTATTCCCAGCTATTGTCGGTCGCCATATGGCACACATGCATGTCGCCATATGGCGCACATGCAACTCTCCTTTTTTGGCTATTTAAAGCCTTTCCTGATCCATTTTTCATATTTTTCCATTTGGCCAAGAGTGACGAGAAAAAGAGAAGCTAGAGAGAGAAAGTAGAGAGAGAAGCTAGAGAGAAAGTAGAGAGATAAAGTTAGAGAGAGAAAGAGACGAAATCAAAAGAGATCAAGAAAACTCTCTTTCACACGGTAAGCGAGTTTCTCGATCTCATGATTCATTAAAAACTTTTAAGTACTCGTTCTTAGACTCTCCCTTAAAATTTTAAAAACCTTTTCAAAAATTGGGTGTCGAACGACTCTTCCATCTCCTTCAAATTTACGCAAATAACACCATTGTGGAAAAATCGAAAACTTGGATTTTAGTAAGGGATCTTAATATTTTTATGTATTCTTCTATACTTGTTTTCTATATATTGAAAACGTTTAAGGATAATGAAATGGTTATGATTGCTTGGTCAATTTTTTTGCATGAAATAATGTGTTTTGAGAATCGTACGTCATATGATTATTAAGTGTTTTATTTTAGTATCATATACGGATATGATTTGCACTTTGACATTGTTTTAGTTGATATGCTAGGTGTGTGGGTCGGACCCTCGGCCTCGCTTTAAGGGCGATGGTTGAGAAGGTTACTCATTTAGGGCCTAACTCGAACAGGTAACTCGATTGTCTAATATGGGTACATGAGCCTTTACTAGGCCAAGATTGGTGTGGAACCCATTATATCTAGATAGTAAAAAATAATAATTAATGATTTTGAACTGATAAAAAAAGTAGAAATATTGAAAAATCTGTTTAATCGTTATCACTGAAAAATTATCGAATGGACTACTACTGATTGTTGATGAACCACTTCCTATGAATGGTATTACATTCTTTATGACGAGAGTGGAATCGCGACTGATTATAGGGACCACAGCGGCAAAGCAGGATTGTGGTTATTAGTATTCGACTGTTATATGGAAATATTGAATTGAACTATTTCTTATTAATAGTGGTACTCAGAGATCCCTTCTGCCCTTTGTTGATATATGTTAAAACGGGTTCGCGTGAAAATCTGTAAAAACCATAAATAAATTAAATTGATTGATGGTATAACTAGAGTTGTTAATTGATTTCCCATGTTTAGATAATTTTCCTTGGATTGAATATGTTTCTCACTGTTCTGTTATGACATTGCCATGTTTTTTAGTTGGTTCGATTAGTTTCTGTATGTTATTTAATGTTCTATCATGTATGACATGCTTAATTGGTTTAACTAGTTTCTACTATACTGCTCATTGTTTCGTTGTATCATTGATTCTTTTATATTGCATTGCTCCATCTTTGCTTTTTATATTTGAGGCTAGAAATTAGATGTTCCTGATTTAATTTAAAAGGCAAACGTTTTTCTAAATATTTCAAAATGAATATGTTATGAGATAAAGTCAGAGGTGAGCTACTGATTTATAAGGAAATGACATGTTTTCAAAACTAAATAACTTTTGAAATTTAGTAGTTTAGTTTTAATACGATTTCCTTTATTGAGTCTTCTGGAACTCACTCCAATCAATTTCCCTCCAGACAATAATGATTATGAAGAATCACTTCCCGAGTTGCGCCTTGAAATTTGTTTAGATCCATTCACGAATCTATAGTGAACTTTTGAGTGCATTTAGATAATTGTACTATGATGAACTATATTTCTTTTGTAATATTAGAAGTGACTGGAACAATGTTGTATATATTTTTGTTAGCTATCTTCTTGACCTCTGATGTATTTGAACATCAAGTATTTTGTAAATGATGATTTTGTTATATTGTATAATATATTTTGTACTCGTATTTGTTTTGTTATTAGACTCCTTTATTCATCATATAACAGGATGTTACAGTTTTATTTTAAAATTGTATGAAAATAAGTATTAAATGTTAGAATACGAAATTATCTTTCCCTTTTAATATTCTTTTTCTTGCCTTTTTTCCCTTCAACATTAGGTTGAAAGGATTGAAATACACATAATGATCCTTGTACTATTTATTGAACTACTAAATTATTGTATAAAGCTCAGCTGGTAGAGTAGAGTACCAACAATTCTTGTGTCACCAATTCAAATCTTGTTTTAGACATAAAAGATGAATTTGTGTGAGTCTCTATTTTATAAATTATTTGATTATGGTTGATCATAATAGATATTTATTGATATAAATGTATGGAAATACATAATTTTTTTTTTTGGATTTTTAAATGAGTAAAAAATATATAAAGTACATATATGTAGTAAAAGAAAAAGATTAATTATCTTTGTTTTTTTTTTTATTTGTTCATATTGTGATTTCTCTCGTTAAATTACTTGGTTAAAAACTTCATCTAAAATGACTCTATTAATTTATAACAAAATTTCAGCATTATACCGGGGATTTAATATGCTAATTAATTGTCATGTTGATTGAATTGTAGAACAGCAGCAGGGTATTAAGAAAATATATAGTAAGTACCAGTACCAGGTGGGATTTCATATGTAGAGGTTTTATTGTTATGTGTTTAAGTTATTCAAAAATTGCAGAAGCAACCTCGTGTTTTTTAGACAATATTATCTTTTTTTTTTTATTTTGATAGAAGTCGGTAAATAAATACCCTTTTAAAAATTAACAAGTTGACATTCCCACCACTTAGATGGCAAGTGAGAGAAATGGGCTTCTCCTTTTTTGACTCATATCATAGCAATTATATAAACAAATAATTTAATAAAAAAATAAACTAATTTTTTAATTAGGAGGACACGTGGAAAAAGAAGAGAGAATGAGTTGCTTTCTTCTTTTGGCACCGAATTTATGGCAGTGTATAAATCCAAACAGAAAAAGATATTTGGAGAGCGTCGTCAGTGCATGAATCTATATATATATATATATATCCCTCCTCCACCCTACACGTCACTCTCTTGGGTCACCAACCCCACATTTTCATTACCATTTACGTGGCCATTCTACACTGGTCACCACCCCACCCATTACTTTCCTCTTCTTTTTCTCATTAATTAATTAAACTGCTGTATATAATTACCACCAAATATTTTATTTGACCTAATTTCTTTATCTTATCTCCGTTTTTTTGTTACAATCTTATTATATTCTATCATTAAAGTAATCAATGATTACTTTTGTTGTAATGGACACGTGTGCTTCTCCATTTTGACGTGCGTGTCTCTCTCTCTCTCTCTCTCTCTCTCTCTCTCTCTCTCTCTCTCTCTCTCTCCCTCTGTCAGTCACGTTATGGTTCGGTTTTAAGGTTCCTCTCCTTTGCCAACTTCCTTTTTCGTCTGCTACATGCAGTGTTCGGCTATGGTAAGCCACTCTACATATTCTTTCTGTGGGGGCTGGTATGAATTAACCCATTGGTTTTAAAATTCATTTTCTTCGCAAATTTCTAGACGAACATCGACTGTTCTGCTCATACCGTCCCCATACACACAGGGAAAGGTTAGGTGGATGGCTCATCCTTTTACTTTAGTTATTGAAGGTAAAGGTGGTTTTAGGTGTAAGTAATTGGAAAGAACGAGAAAGAGAAACAAACAAGGATTTCAACAATCAAGAGGTTCAAGTTAATTACCTGTGATTCAGGCAATCTGATTTTCTTTTTTCTGGGCTTTTCTAGTTTGTCTCAATTCCTTTTCATGGCCCCAGTTCTATTCTCTTTCTTGCTTCTGTTGTAGACAATTCCCAATTCTCATTTCCTTCTGTTTAATTTTCATTTTATATACCTTTGTATCTTATGCATCCAAGACAGAAATTACTAAGTTTTCCTTCTTTTTCTTTTCTCTGTCCAAACGGTAGCTATATATAATAGGCACAGTTCATACCATGTTGCCTTTTTGCCTATTTCATTCTATTGTTTCCTTTGTTTAGGTTCCAGCTGAAACTATTCTTCTTGATTTGATTACAGCTTTTTCTTGCTTCTTTCTGTGCTCAGGAGATTTTAGAAGGAAAAGGTAGGGGAATCATTAGCACTTCTTTGAGATTTTAAAAGTTTTAGAGGAGTAAGATCTTTTGATAGAATATCAATGGAGGAGGTGACCCGGGTGGTTGCAGGTCCCTTTAGCCTAACAAATTTGATATGCAATGATTCACTGACCAAAACCCACATGGAATTTGCTGGGGTTAAGCTTGTAGTAGCAAACCCAGAAACCTTGTCATCCGACCACCCTGCAACTAGAGTAAAGCCACCTTATGAATCCATCATTTCTTGTGGACATGAAAGTTTTTGTATTGATACTCCACCCAGTGATATTAAAATAATATACGCTGAGGAATCGGGATATGGAAGAGATGGAGTAATTTTGTCAAAAGTTGTGGATAACAATGAGGGTTCGATTCCCAGCAAACCCATGAATCAAGAAAATGAAAACAAGGACGACTTAGCGTCGTTAGGTGACACCCAGTCAGTGATTAGTGATAGTGGCAGCCTCTGTTGCCAGGAGTTTATAGCTTCTGGATCTAACTCATCAACTGCAATGGGTTGGGAAAGTAAAAGAGATAGTCTTCAAGTGAATGATAAGTTCATTTTGGCAGAAGTAAATTTGAGATCGAAGGCCATGGCGATGGATGTTGAGGGTGGGTGTCATAAGGCTGATTCATCCTCATCCTCATCCTCACCCTCACTATCATCGGAGATGCCACAAGCAAAGAGTAGAGCAGGAGGCCACAATCTGTTGGAATTAAATAACATACCCCTCTGGGGATTCACTTCTATCTGTGGGAAGAGAACAGAGATGGAAGATGCTGTAGCAACTGTGCCTAGATTTCTGCAGGTTCCGACTCAAATGTTAAAGGGTACACTTGGTTTCAGTGGCATAGATCAAAATCTAAGTATCCATTTCTTTGGTGTCTATGATGGACATGGAGGAAGCCAGGTATTCTCAGTCATCTCCACCATTTTCTTTTTATCTCCTGTTAAACTGGATTCATTTCGAAATTTCTATGCGTATATAGGTTGCTAATTATTGCCGTGAACGAATGCACTTGGTGCTGGCCGAGGAAATAGAAAATGCAAAAGCAGGCGTATGCAGTGGAGACAGTTGGCAGGACAAATGGAGAGAAGCCTTTTCCAAATGTTTTGTGAAAGTAGATGCTGAGATTGGAGGTGTAAGTGGAAGCAACCCCAGTGTTGCCCCTGAAACTGTGGGTTCTACTGCTGTAGTGGCCATAGTTGCTCCTACACATATAATAGTTGGAAATTGTGGTGATTCAAGAGCAGTTTTATGTCGAGGGAAAGTAGCTATGCCATTGTCAGTAGACCATAAAGTATGTATTTCTGGTTTTACAGTTTTCTTAATTTTCTGTTTCTCTTCCTATTTCATTGGTTCAGGAACTCATCTTCACATCTATAACATTGTTTATGTTTGCAGCCAGATAGAGAAGATGAATTTGCGAGAATAGAAGCTGCAGGAGGCAAGATCATACAGTGGAACGGATCCCGGGTTTTTGGCGTTCTTGCAATGTCAAGAGCCATTGGTATTTGTTTCTGATCTTTAATTCCTTTATCCTTAAATAGCAATCCTCAAATGTTAAATAGACATATAAATGTATACTTATATATTTCCTCCAACATTCATGATCTTTAACCATGATATTTAGCCCCTAGCAAAACTGCTGTGCATAAAATGAACGATTGTATGTATTACAAGACCAAATGTAACACTAAATGACTTGAGTAGTGATAGGCTTCACCCTTCAATTTCCTTCTTTTTGGAAAGAATACTGAAGATAATCACTCAGATGGATGACATTCACAGGTGACAGATACCTAAAACCATGGATTATCCCAGATCCTGAAGTAACATTTATTTCCCGAGCAAAAGAAGATGAGTGCCTTATTTTAGCGAGTGACGGGCTGTGGGATGTGATGACAAACGAGGAGGTGTGTGACATAGCACGAAAGAGAATCCTTGTTTGGCACAAGAAATACGGTGGTACTTTGCCTGCAGAAAGGGGAGATGGAGGTGATCCTGCAGCTCAAGCTGCAGCAGACTACCTCTCAAACTTGGCTCTCCACAAGGGAAGCAAAGACAACATTTCTGTGGTTGTAGCGGACCTGAAACCTCGTAGAAAGTTCAAGCCAAAACCCCTACACTGATTACTTCATTTACTCACAACATTTTTCAGATCAATTCTTTCCACATGCAAAACTGATTCTTTACTTTGTGATTGAGCCCATAAGTTTTTTTATCCTGGGCTTTGTAACAGCTATATACCCTAAACATGCTCTGTAAAACACCAAACTTTACTATCCATGTTTTCTTTTCTTTTAATTTTGATTCTACTTCTCATTTTATTAAGCTCTGAATTTAGCTCCCATATAATATCTTCATCTCAATTAGGCTTCTCAAGAGTTTTTTACCCTGAGCCCTCAGCACCCATCTTGTACTTTTGTGGAGAAGAAATGGAAGATTACAGGATCAGCTGTTAATATTCTTCACTACATTTTATAAATTCATCCATATCTGTTCTTCTTGATGCACGTGAATTTTAGCGTATCGCAAATACTGTCATAATTGATACAACTGAAAGTTCAACAATAGAGTTTCTGATGCATGGCATGCATTATTCATCTACTTTTCAAGCTTTCATTATTTTCAAACCTCAAAACTCCAAGGCAAATTTTGGGAATATTATACTGATCGTCACTCATAACAAAAATCACTTAAGTCAATCTTTCAAGATTTAATTATTTCTAGAATTATTAACATGTCTTTCAAGAAGCTCATGAACCGTCAGATTTGAAGTGTTTCATTTCTAACATCTTGGGTTAAATCATGCACATAACTGCATTGGGGACGTTAAAATTGCACATATGAGATGGAAGAGATGTAATAAATTCACACCTTCAAATAATAATCACACATTTGTCAAGTTCCTCAATCTAATCCAACATATTACAAGCTCATAATTATACATCAGCAGCATCTTCCATATACGAAACCCTCATTAATTGAATAAATGAAAAACCTAAAAAAATGGCAAGCTATTCGTACAACTCCAAAGTGTTCTTACATTTCGGTTTTTCTTTTTCTTTTTTTTTTTTGAATATCTGTGGTGTCCTAAGCCTTCCCTATCTCATTGTGGCAGCCAAAGTTAATATTGCAACCTCAGGGACAGCAGATGGTGAAAAATCCTAGTAGCTATTCCTTCCACGCTTATGGTCTCGCAGGCTGTTTGATTGCAATTGCGAACTCCTATAGAGACAGAAATCATGTATTTATCCATCATGGTTCAGAGGGCAAGCCAGTCTAATTACTATCATCAAATTATATGATCATGAATCTGGAAATAGTAGTTGTGGGAAGAAAAGTGAATTTGTCAGCAGAAATCTCCAGCTTCGTTATTAAGAGGGGTTTTAAGAATGGTCTTAAAGACATAACCTAATCATGATAACAATTTAAGAAGACTATCACTGACAGCTTAAGATCAAATCATGATAACAATCCAATCATTCCATCTTTCACATAACAAAAATTTCATAAGCATAAAATTATAAGATCAGTAAGTTAGATTTGATATGTATCTTGAAATATAATTAAAAAGAATACGAGTTAAAAAAAGAAAACGGTTGAAATTTAATATTAGCTTGCCTACATCATTATATAAGATTAGATTAGGCTAGATGCTATAGAATTTGAAAACAGACCAAGTACTGGTATGCTATGATTATATGTATAGATTACCCAGACACAACCAGTTAATACGAAGCTTTCTTTTCTTCCCTACATATGTTTCAGTTCCAGAAACAAGAAAATGCTTCAAGGAAGAGGGTCTTGACCGAAAATTACCAAAGGATAGAATCTATAAAAGCAGAAGGAGAAAAACATGAAAAACACTCAAAGTTCAGAAAGGTGAATGCAACAAGCATCTATAAAGCGTATGGGTCTCAATCAAGACAATGAAAATTTGAAGTTAATGTGGTGTTGATTGAACACCATGATGTAAGCAACACAATCATAGAGCTACTAGTACATCATGGCAATAGCTGTAAGAAAGTTGAAAGTTTACATTTCAATAAACCCATACTGAATCCAAGCATTGGACGTACCACACAAGATTCAAAGAGTTGCAAGTGGAGATCCTGCATTGGTGAAGTATGAAGGCAGATCTACATCCAAGTCATGGTACATTTTCATGAAAGGATGTCCCTGGATTTTCACATGGAGTTAAAAAGGAATCAGTATTAAGAGCGTATACCTTATTCTATTCCAATTGAATTACATTTTTAGGAGCTAAGCCATTCAAACAGTTTACACACCAAAAGTTCACGAGCTGACTGTCTGTCCTTTGGGTCTTTTTGTACACTGAAATAGATCATAAACCCCAGGCTAGAGATTAGTGATCTCATATGATTAAACAATGCTCATAATGCAGGAGTAAATTATTTATGCAAATGGTTTACCCAGTCAATCAAAACTAGAGAAGGAAAAGAAAATGCAACACAAGTAATCACATGGAAGATATCAAAACACGAAACATCAGTAGATCACTGTTCTCTACTAAAAACTTTCCATGGTCACAGGAAAAGGAGACAAATGACGGGTAAATCAAATTCCATTCAGAAAACAATTGATCTCTGACTCAATCATGTTTTATCTCCATTCTCAATCATATTTATCGAAGCACATGGATCAAAATAGCAGATGCAATATAAGGTATTTACCACGCAGAAATAAATGAGCGGAACTCAGGAGAAAATTGATCAGAAGGCACAGAAGGTGGTGGTTGATCAACAATGGCTTCCATAAGCTCATAAAAGCTACTCCACCCTTCCCCTTGGTCCGGTGGTGAATACGGAAACTGGCCTGTTGCACACTCGAGCAACACTAATCCTAAGCTCCAAATGTCACTTTTGTTCCCATATTTACCACCACTAATTCTCTCAGGCTACAAAAAGCGAGACTGCATATTAGCAGCTTCACAAGTTTCAAACTCAAGAGGAAGAAGAAAACTAATTAAAAAATAATTAAAAACAACAACACTCACAGACATATAGTTGTAGGTGCCAACAAAAGTTTTTGCCTGTCCATTGGTGCTTGCCATTATTGTGCTCACACCAAAATCAGTTATCTTCACTTCTCCTCTATGATTTATTAACAAATTGGAAGGTTTCAAGTCTCTGTGTATTATATGTTTTTCATGATGAAGATACAGTAAACCCTGGAGCACCTGCATTTATTAAGAGGTATAGGAAAAAAATAAACATCTTGTACCAAGTCTTGGTCAGCTGATACTTATGGGCTATGCATATTTGCTTTTTCATACCTGCTTGCAGATAGCAGCAAGATAAGGTTCGGGAATTGTTTTGACTTTTCTCAGGAAGTCTGCAAGAGATCCACCATCCATATACTCCAAGATTATCGAAATGACACCATTATTGTAGAAAGATTGATAACAGATAACCACATATGGGCAATTTGATGATTGATTAATTTTCAACTCCTGAGCAATCTGTCTACGTGCCGACTCCTCAATTTTCATTTGGATAACCTGAAGCGAACAAAATGTCATAACTTAGAAAACCCATGAGAGACAGATGTGAATAAGGAAACTCCACCTATGAAAGATTCAAGGCTTGTTCTGATTTTGCCATCAATCAATTATTTTTTTGATACATTAATTTGCTTGAAAGCAGCAAACAGTGACAGTTTATGAAAAAAATTTATCCACAAACCCATGGTAACATAAGAGAGCTATGCTGAGACATGTAGAATATTGGTTTGCTTATCAGTCAAAAACTTCCTGCTCGTCTCAAAGCAGACAACAAGAAACAGTTACTATAGACTCATGACAAGCCAGTCCTCAAATATTGTAATAAAGGCATACTTGGAACGGCTAAACACAGAGAAATAGCATAGGAAGATTATAGATTCTATTTTGGCTAAACAAATATGATTTTTGAAAGATTACTTTGGAAAATGAGTAATTGAATCAGGTAACAAAATGTCAGAGTCAATAACGCTCTTCCTGAAGAACCAATCAATTAACTGACTCCTGTAAGATTCATGCAATCATTTCCTATTAACCGGAGTAGACATCGATCACTTTACAGAAGCAGCAAATATATCACTTTAATCAAAGGTTTGGAGCGATAAAAAATTCTGATACAATCATATTGCACTTTTCAAAATTATATTTATATATTTATCCACTACTGCTCCATAAGTAGAAAACAATTAGAAGGAAAACAAACATAATATCCCTTGAGGCTAGCAAGAAGCAGGGATGGAAATGTTCAATTATAAACAGCATACTATAATTTTTTTGCAAATGCAGCAAATGATAAGCTCTTAAAGTACCTTAAGTGCAAAAAATTGACCGGTCCATTTGTGTTGCACTAATTGCACAATTCCACCATTTCCCTTTCCAACAACCTTAACCATATCTAGATCTTCTAAACTCATTTGGTTGTCTGATGGCATGATAGGAGGTGGCTGGAAATAATCACATACAAAAAAGGTATAACAGAACAGTGAGGAACCATACTACTAGAATTTTAATTTGTTTTCTTCATGGCATTAGCAATTAAAGGGAAGAGAAAAGAATTAACAGTTCCAACACAGTACTAGAAGTGTAACACTAATAAAATCTGTTTTTTTTTTTCACAGAATTAGAAATTAAAGGGGAAAAAAGATTTAACAGTTCCAACACATTCTAATATAAGATTTCATTTGGTTAATTTCTCATTCAATTCCTAGTCAGTTCCTGATTCTAATTCACATATTAGTTTTTTTAGATAAAATCTAATTCATAGGTTAGTATTGCTAGAATATAATTTTTTGCCTTTGAATTTCACCACCACAATTTGAATGCTTTGTTGTGAGGATTCAGGTTTTATTTTGAAATCAGGTTGAATTTTCACTGTCAAGGAATTCAGTTAAATTCCCAACAAAAAAGAAATGTTGAAAACATAATAAATTTCTAATCCCAATTATGGATAGTAAAACTGATAACAGAACCAAAATTAGGAATTAATTAGGAATTGAATAAGAAATTAACTCAACATTGGTATAAGTATAGCATTCCTATAATCTGTTTCTGTACATAATTAGCAACTAAAGGAAAAAAAAGTGACAGTTTCATAGAATTAGCAACAAAGAGAACACTCAATGGTAATTTGAGGATGAATAAAGAAAATTTAGTCATCCGCAAACCATAATAAATCGGATCATTTTCGACCAAAATGCAGTGAAAGAAAATTTCTTCATCTTTTGTTTTTTTATGAGAAATACTTACCAATTTTGTATAACATGTACGTTGGAGAAATTTTCAATGCAATCAAACCCAAAAAGAAAACGATGATGATAACTGAAGAGAGATTTAGAAACTTACGGCGTCAGATTCGCTTTGAGAAACAATTCGAACTCCATCCTTATTAACAAGAAGATCCCCGTCCATAAACGTGCCGCTTTGGGTTCTACCATGAATTCATAACAAGATTAACCAAAAACATTATGTAAATTATATAAGCAGAAACACACATACACACACATATATATGTGTATATATATATATATATATATAGAGAGAGAGAGAGAGAGATAATTACAGGAATTTGGCAATGTCATTTCCATCGGAAGAAGGGATGGAGATGTTGAGTTTAGGGTCTAGGTTTCCCTTCTTCATGGGGATTCCTATGGTTATGTTCATAGAATTTGCAAGTCGTCGGAGAAGCGGCAAAAGACTCGGGGCGTTTAGGAAGAGTAAGTAGATGCGTATATACACTTATAAATAAATATGAGAAGTAAAAAGCTGACTCCATTTAGTGCAGAAGTAGGACCAGTCGCCACAATAGCAAACACGAGGAAGACGAGACTTCCCGTTGACTTCCTACTTTCACTCCCACCCATTATTTTATTTTTCTCCTTCCGGAAACAGGGACTGAAATTTCTTTCTATGAATGAAATAGGTTTGGAATAAAACTCCTTTTTTAGAACAATTTCTGTAAGAAAATGACTTCTCAACATCAACATAATAAGGTTGGATAGGATTACAATATTTGATTCCACCACTTGAAAGTTATAAATAACTATAATATTCTCAAAATTAGGATAATTTATAATACCTAAAACTATAATGTCTGATAAACAAGTAAAATTTTAGTTATCGTAATTTATATTGTTTTACGATTATTTAGCTTAGTTCTTGTGTGATTTTATCTTAAAGGTCATCACTCTAATATTGCAATTAATATTCTTCACCAGGTACTCTCATTGGGGAGAATAATCATATGATCACATACACCAACTGAATTAATTGGTACAGAAGTAGAGATTTTAGAGTTAGAAATAAAATGAGCACAATAAGAATGTATTCTATGTAGTGGGATATTTGCAGTAACAAATGTGATATGAAGCCTATGGAAGTCATGTACCATAGTGGAGGTACTAAGTTTGGAGCAAAATTTTGTTTCTTTTCTAGTTTCAAAGACAACATATTTTGCTCCAAACTTGTACCTCTGAACAAAGCAAGAAAATGACTTTCAACATCCCGAGTTTCAATGAAGCATATTGCTAGAGAATTGAAACTGATGTTATAGTAGGCATTAAGTAATAATTGTTAGAACAGGCGATAGATGGAGGTGCAACCACATAATGACAACATATAGAAACTAGTTGAGCAAAAATAGAGGTGGGAAGGAAGAAGAAAAAAAAAAAGAAATAGATGGGAGATTATGCAAAAAAGATATTGAAAAAGCTAAAGAGATAGATCAACATTATTAGATAGAAGCAATGAGTAGGTGAGGTGAGAAGAAAATGGTTTTAGGGTTCTCAATTATTTAAGTTTATATTTATATTGATAATATATATATATATATATATATATACCAAATTGAATTTTCGTGAGCTTTTTTAAGTCAAACTCGAACTTGTTCTACATTATAAATATTTCCTCGCTAACCCAAACTTGAAATTTTCTAAAAAGTTATTATAGGTCATATTTAAGAAAGTTACTTGGACGAGTTTGGGTTAATAATGCATCCTTAGGTACCAGGTCTTGTATGCACTCTGTCGTTGTTGTGGGTGTCATGCCTTGTGAATGTTTCTGTATGAGAATTAAGATGACAAAAAGGTAGGGTGAATAGATATAAACAAGTATTATTTAAAGAGTTTAAATCTTTTAAGCTTTGGGGTAATGTTTCAATTTAAACGAGTTATTACTATTACATTTTTAAGACATAATCTGGTTAAGTTTAAGATTTTTTTTACAAGTCTTGCACGTTTACGAGATTTTTCTATAGAAATGCAACGTTATGACGTGCCCATTTTTGGATTGGAGGGTCAAACAATGTGAAGTTTTCTTATATTCTAGCCTTACTAGTTCCTTTTTTTTTTTATCATACTCGAGAACTCTAGGTAGCCAAAATTTGATACCATTTTCTCCATTGTAGGTATTTTTACTATACAAGTGACCTAAACATTCAACTAAACATTTGTCGTATACATTAATCCATTTTCATTTAAACACCTACAAGGATTGAGATTGATTTTCATTAATGACATAGTCATTGAAACAATCAACTATATGATGATATCAATGCATTAAAATAAATTAACAAAAGCAATTATTAATATATAAACTAACAAAATAAAAATCCACATTCTCGACAAACACAATATATTTAAAAATCATATCACATTTAAAATCTCAAAACAAACAATATATTCCAAAGTTACATAATAGAATGAGTCTTAAAGATCAAATTATTGAAAAGTAGTTATGTATTCAATTTAATTTATCGACTCTGCACTCGGTGAACATTTAATTTACAAGGTTATCTTTCCATATGGTAAAAGGATTTGAAGTTTCAGTGATATAAATAGTGTTTTCAACATCAAGACCACCTTATTGATTGTATTCTTAGTGTACAAGTTACTCGATGGGATGAGATTGTATGACATCTCTCTCCTAACTGAATTATATTGTAAACAACAAGTAACTATAGTACAGTTTTGAATCCTAATTGAGTAGAAATACTTTTAAATATGTTTCATCTCATTTTGATATATCAAAGTAAGTCTTTATCATAGTCTCTTAAACACTTATTTTTAATTAAAAAACTCTTAAGTTATAGAAGGATGACAATCTTATCTTAGTTAATTCAATTAATATATGTTGATGTAGCTTGAATTTTGGGGCTATCTTATCTATATTCTGGGGATAGTTTATGTTTATTATAGTGAATATTTTATGTATATCGTGGGAATATTTTGTATTTAACTTAGAGAATATTTGATGCATATCATGGAGAGTTTTGTTGGGAGAAAATTCTAGTAGTCTCTTTATAAATAGGTTTACTAACTTATTGATGATGTACTCTCTTTTGATCATAGTAAAAAACTTTTTTATCGATCTTGCTTGTGGTTTAGACATATTACTGAATCACGTTAAATCTTGTATGTCTTTTCTATTTGTTTTACTTTAATGTGATTATGTGCGGTTTAAGAATTTATTTATTTAACAAGTGATATCAGAGCTCAGTTAGTAAGAGAAAGTTAAATCAAAAGAGAGAGTGTTGTCCCTTATACCAAAGTGACAGTGTGTCTAGCGATGGAAGATGAAAAGACTACTATGTCTGAGGGAGACGA